GACGACATGAGCATGATGGAACACCTGAACACCTACAAAGGTATTGTGAATCAGCTGTCAAAGGCTGATATGAAAATTGATGAAGAATTGCAGGCATTGCTGCTGTTGAGCTCGCTGCCAGAAAGATGGGATACTCTGGTGGTGACCCAGAATAACTCGACTCCAGATGGAAAATTGAAGATGGATGTCGTGACAGACAGCCTCCTGGGCGAAAAATCCAGGAGAAGAGAACGAGGTACTTCGAGTACGTCTGAGGCCAATGTTGCTGAGAACAAAGGGAAATCTGACTCATGTGGTAGAAGTAAGAGCCGCGGTAAAGGTCGTGATAGACGAGATAAGTCCAGAGGTCGGTCAAAGCCGAAATATGAGTTGAAGTGCTTTTACTGTGGAAAGACAGGCCACAAGAAGCCAGACTGCTGGACCCTGCAGAATGATGAGAAGAACGGATCTGTGAAGCCGGATCAAATTACTCCCAAGAAGAGGGAAGACAAGAGCACCACTGCGGTGGCTGCCAACCCGGATGCCGAGATATTCCTCCTTGGTGAGGATAATTATTTGAATGTTGCATATGATGGCTGCACCTGGATTGTTGACTCTGGTGCCTCCTTCCACGTTACTCCACACAAAGGTTTTTTCTCCTCTTATCGAGGTGGTGATTTTGGAGTCGTGAAGATGGGAAATCAAGTGACCAGCAAGATTGTTGGTGTCAGTGATGTAACTCTGACCACAGATGTCGGATGCCGACTTGTGTTGAAAGATGTAAGACATGTTCTTGACATGCGTTTGAACCTAATCTCGGTAGGCAAGCTTGACGATGCCGGGTTAGTGAACTACTTCGGTAGTGTGAGATGGAAGCTGGCCAAGGGAAACTTGGTCGTGGCCTGAGGTAAGAAAGAAGGCTCCTTGTACGTGATGCAAGGAAAGATCAATGGCGGAGAAGCCAATTCTGTTCGAGATGAACCTAGCTTGGAGCTATGACACAAGCGCCTCGACCACATGAGCGAGAAAGGGCAATAGATCCTGAACAAGAAAGGATTACTGACCGGGTTGAAAGGCCAAGCGTTGGAGAGTTGCACGCATTGCCTAGCTGGAAAGCAGCACCGAGTTTCTTTTGTGAGACCGGATCAACCAAGACGACACAGGTATATTCTTGACCTCGTCCATACTGATGTCTGCTCCATGTCGGAAAGATCCCTTGGAGGAGCTAAGTACTTTGTTTCATTTATTGATGACCACTCCCGCAAAGTGTGGGTATATTTGTTAAAGTCTAAAGACCAGGTACTCCAATCCTTTAAAGAATTCCATGCTATGGTTGAAAGGGAGACTGGCAAGAAATTGAAGGTGGTCCGATCTGATAATGGTGGTGAGTATTGCGGCCCATTTGATGCATACTGCAGAGCGGCCGGGATCCGACTTGAGAAGACGCCCCCCAAGACTGCACAGTTGAATGGACTGGCTGAGCGGATGAACAGAACTATTGAAGAGAAGGTTCGAAGTATGTTATCCAATGCCGGATTGCCGAAATCATTCTGGGGAGAAGCCGTCAAAACAGCTGTTGACTTGATCAACCTCTCACCATCAAGGCCACTTGAAGGAGAAATTCCAGAAGAAGTCTGGACAGGTCGGAAAGCGGCCTATAATTAATTGAAAGTGTTTGGATGTCGAGCTTTCGTGCATATCCCTAAAGATGAAAGGGAAAAACTCGATGCGAAGACAAAAGAATGCATCTATCTTGGTTCGCCGAGATGTGAGTTCGGGTTCCGACTTTGGGATCCAATCAATAAAAAGATCGTGAGAAGCCGAGATGTGATCTTTCATGAGCATGAGAACATTCATGACATCTCGAAGCCCAAAGTCCGGGTTACTGTCAGACGTGAAGAACCCATCCCTCCTGTCCGAGCTGAAGCAGGGGGAGAAAATCAAGAGAATGAAGAAATTGATGACCAACAACAAGCTGAAGATGACCAAGACATTGAGGTCCGAGTTGATGATGAGATCCGGGATGAAAATGATGAACCGGGTTCTCAAGCTGAAGAACAGCCGAGATATCCAACTCGAGAAATAAGACCCTCTACAAGATACCCATCTGATGAATACACCGTTGTTGCTGAAGACGGTGAGCCTCAGAGTTATGATGAGGCTGTGACGAGCTCAGAGAAAGAAGAACGGGAAAAGGCAATGCAAGACGAGATGAAGTCTCTGCACGAGAATCAGACTTATGAGCTGACTGAGTTGCCTAAAGGAAGACGAGCTTTGAAAAATAAATGGGTTTACAAGATTAAGAATGAAGAGAACGAGCTGAAGCCGAGATACAAAGCCCAGATTATAGTGAAAGGTTGCAATCAGAAGAAAGGAGTTGATTTTGAGGAGATTTTTTCTCCTGTGGTGAAAATGACCTCGGTCTGAATCGTGTTAGCCATAGCGGCTTCGATGGACCTCGAGGTAGAACAAATGGACGTGAAGACGACATTTCTTCATGGTGATTTAGAAGAAAAAATATATATGGAGCAACCTGAAGGGTTCCGAGCTCCAGACCAAGAAGACTTGGTATGTCGGTTGAGGAAGAGTCTCTATGGCTTGAAGCAAGCACCTCGGCAGTGGTACAAGAAGTTTGAATCATTCATGACTGATCATAAGTTTGAGAAGACAGAGGCCGACCACTGCGTATTTGTGAAGAGGTATGAGGCTGGAGATTTTCTGATTTTGTTGTTATATGTTGATGACATGCTTATTGTAGGGAAAGATAAATCGAGGATAGCCGCCCTGAAAAAGGCATTGAGCTCGTCCTTCGCAATGAAGGACCTCGGCCCTGCAAAGCAGATTCTCGGAATCAAGATCATCCGAGATAGACAGAAGAAGCTACTGTGGCTAAGTCAAGAGAAATATATTGAGAAGATTCTGAAGAGATTTAGCATGGACAAAGCCAAAACAGTGAGCACCCCCCTTGCCGGACACATAAAGCTGAACCAGAAGCAATGTCCGAGATCTGATGAAGACAAAGATGAAATGGTGAAGGTCTTTTACCAATCCGCCGTCGGAAGCTTGATGTATGCAATGGTTTGCACTAGACCCGACTTGGCGTATGCTGTTGGAATGGTAAGCCGGTATTTGTCAAACCCCGGCAAAGAGCACTGGGAAGCGGTGAAGTGGATCTTCAAGTACCTTCGAGGTACGACCGACTTATGTCTCCGATTTGGAGAAGGAAAAGCCGAGTTGCAAGGCTACTCAGATTCTGATATAGGGGGAGACGCCGACTCGAGGAAATCGACGACGGGATATATGATGAGATTTGCCGGAGGAGCTCTCTCTTGGCAATCAAGACTTCAGAAATGTGTTGCACTATCTACAACTGAGGCTGAGTACATTGCCGCTACTGAGGCAAGCAAAGAAATGTTGTGGATGAAGAAGTTCCTCATGGAACTCGGCCATGATCAAGACAAGTACGAGCTGGGGTGTGACAATCAAAGCGCAATCCATCTTGCGAAGAATTCAACCTATCACTCCCGCACTAAGCATATTGATGTGAGGTATCACTGGATCCGGGATGTGGTGGAAGGTTGTGAGCTCGAACTCGTCAAGGTGCACACTGACCAAAATTGGTCCGACATGATGACAAAGCCAGTTCCAGCAAGAAAATTTGAAGACTGTCGTGAAGGAGCCGGGTTGATGCTGAAGCCGACGCATTGAAGTTGGAGGGGGAGATTTGTTGGGCTTCCTCCTTCAATGCTAAGCCCAAGCCCATTTGAGGGGTTTCCTAAAAACCCTAACCCTAATTTCCACCTCCTCTATATATACTCATTAGTTGTGGGTGGAGGCTAGGTCAGATTTTGAGAGAACAAAATTTGAGAAAAAAATTATTTGATTGTTTGAGTAAAGCTTTATGCTTTGCATTTGAGAGAGTTTGAGTGAAACATCTCTAGGGTAGGTTGATTATCACCATTGTTAGAGAGGTTGAGTTAACCACCACATTGGTATATTTGATTCTTTGTAACCATTATTTTCATAGTGGATTTTTGATCTGGACTAGGTCCCGTGGGTTTTTACTTCTTCATTGGAGAAGGTTTTCCCACGTTAAATCTGGTTGTGTTTTTCTTCTCTCTCCCCTGTTTTGTGATTTTTCGTTTTTGATTTTTCCGCTGCGTTGCCTGACCTGGTGAAATTCAGGCCGAGGTATTGCCGAGATCCGAGATCAGTATCTTGTTGATTGACTTTCGCACAAAAGCTACTTAGCCGAGTTTGAAGGAACCGAGTTTTCCCAAGAATAATTTTAATAAGGTTGCTCAAGCTTTCAACCCTCGTTTGCCAAAATATCTATACCTGGTCATACGATGCTAAAAAAGGAAAACTTCATAGTCAGATTTCAACTTCCGAAGAAAAGGGATTTAAAAAGCATTTGACATTTACTGTTAGCACTTTCTTCTTTGTAGATACAGGACAATGAAGAAAATTTTCTCAACTAAAGCAAAGGACACAACCATATTCTAAACCTTTGTTCTTCTCCCAACGAAACGAATATTAAGAGATCATAATCAATAGAGGTCAGAGGCTAGCATCAACCAACCCAAATTATCATTAAACTTATCAAAACTAGCAAAATAAAAAAAATAAAAAAAAATATGGGACTTGTTCCTTAAGATAGCAGCAAGCACTCGATACTTTTACCTATTTTCAGAACAATTTCAAGTTATAAGTGAATGCTACGCAATCATGCTCACCTTTTTTTGCCCATACAACCACTTGAGATCCCACTCTTTTTCCTGCATTCCCAAGCAAAATCCAACTTGCTACTACATTAATATGTCTCCGTTGACACACCACCTTTTCAATAATGTCTGTGCAGATATGCTAACAGCCAATGTTTGCTAGCAAATCATTCCACCTAACTTTTAAGATAAACCCTTTCAATCCTCAATAAATTTCACTCCTTCCTATTCACTCCCACAATATCAAGGACCACTCCTCCATTCTCCTCTCCCTTCTTGAACAAACAAAAACAAAAGATGTTGATGATGAAGCATTCTCTCTTATCTCTCTCACTTCTTCTAATAGTCCTCTTCTATTCCACAACCTCTTCAGCCCAAACCCCTGCCCCTGCACCTTCATCAGCCCCTACAGACATCATCAGAATCCTCAAAAAAGCTGGAGGATTCACAACTCTAATTCGTCTTCTGACAACAACCCAAGTGGCTACACAGATCAATGCACAACTCCTAAACTCAAACAATGGATTAACATTGTTTGCACCAAATGACAATGCCTTTCAAAGCCTAAAACCTGGCTTCCTCAATTCCCTTAATGATCAACAGAAGAACGAGCTCATCCAATTCCACGAACTACCCACATTTATTTCGATCTCAAACTTTGATACTTTGAGCAACCCAGTGAGAACACAAGCTGGTGATGATCCTGATAGGTTAGCATTGAACATTACAAGTTCGGGAAACCAAGTGAACATGACAACCGGTGTTGTTAACACCACAGTTGGTGGTAGTGTATACTCTGATCATCAACTTGCGATTTATCAAGTGGACAAGGTGCTTCTTCCTCGGGATTTCTTCATTCCTAAGCCTCCACCACCAGCTCCGGCACCATCAAAGCCTAAGGATTCTAAGAAGAAATCTGCAGATGGTCCTGAATCTTCAGCGCATAATGACTCTGCTGCTATGAGTTTGAAACACAAGAGTGGAATGTGGGTGTCCGTTGTAGTTGCTGCTGTTGCAGTAGCAGTGTTCTCATTGTGACAATGAGAGATTAAACATGTTACCAACTTGGTACATGAACTTTGGTACCATGGGTCCAATGTTGTTGTGTTTTTTTATTTCTACATGATGCGTTGGTTTTGGTTGGATTGAAGGGGAATCATGAACGCTTCGTAGTACTTTCCAAAGATTGTCTTCTTTTCATTTAATTTTTTCTCTTTTTAATGAATCAAGTCAGTTTGTATTCGATTTTGAGAATTTTGTGTACTCTTGCAAGTTGCAACCAAAGAATTTTCAATAGAAAATGGGAAAGATGTTTGTTTATTTATATTCCACCATTTTAGGTACACCCTTAACTAGGGGTGAAAATGAGCTGGGTGGGTTAGGTTAAGCTTTGTCTCGAAAAGCTCAAGTATATGTTAAAAAATTTCAATTTGGCCTGGCTCAATCCTAGTACGAGTCTAATTGTTAGCCTGACTTGGCCCGTTTATGAAAGAACGAATGGCCTGGCTCATCCCGTTAGCCTGTTAATTTTTAACTCCCAAGCAGAATCATGAATCAACTTTACAAAATACTCAACTTCAGTTGCTAAACCAAAAATCATAATTTCAACTTTCAAACAGAATCATGAATCACAACAAAACTCATACAACATGCATTTAAGTCACTTTGAAAAACAAAATGCTCAAACTAAATAACATATATTTCATCAGATCCAATAAACAAATCCATACTATATAAATTAAAATAACTACATGAATCCAACAAACACATCATGATGCTTGTAGTAAGTATAACATCTCCCAAAAATCTTTTAATATATTTAATATTTATATACACAATCTAATACTGCTGAGATGTTAATTCCCTTTACGTAAGAAATAAAGTCAGATTTCTATTAAGATGTAATCAAATATAATTAAGTTATAAATAATTGCAATTGATTAAATTTATATATTTTATTTTTTCTTCAAGGCATACTTATTCTATTTTATTTTATTTAAAATAAATAGTATAATATAGGCCGGCCTGTAGGTTTATAGGCCGGGTCTTGTGAAAGTGGGCCTACGGCCTTTTTATTAAACAAGCTTTTTCAAGGCCCAAGTTCAACCTATTTTACGAAATATACTAGGTCAGGTCTGACCTGATGTAGGCCGAGTTGTAAGCCCCTGTAGGCCGGCTCGGCTTTCACCCCTACACCCTACCAATTAAAATGAGGCAATTTTCTATAATCGTGCGTATGGAAAAGAAAGATTTTTTTTTTAATCCAAGTGTAAATTTTTTAATAGAAGTAGTAGATATATACTGAAAATGCTCTCCCGATCAAGCGTCAATGTTTCCATTTTAGGTTTGGGGGAGGGGAGAGATTCATTTCATTTGACACACTCACTTTTTGTCCAAAGGTAGTAGTCATAACAAGTTTTTTCAGACGAGAAAGCTTGGTTAGTAATAATTGATAAAATATTAACGATCTAATTTTTTACGAGGATATAAATATTAGAGTAAATATCATTTTTGGTCTTTAACAAATTTTATGATGCCCGCTTTAGTCCCTAGCAAATAAAAAGGCTCATTCATCGTGGTTCCTAAAAAATTTAAAATGGATCTATTTTAATCCTTTTAAGGACTAATATGTGTCTTTTTTGAATTTGTAAGGGATAACGATTTCAACTAAATAGGTTTATTTTGAATTTCTTAGGGACCACGATAAGCCTTTTTATTTGCTGAGGATTAAAGCAGGTATCATGTGAAATTTGCTAAGGACCAAAAATGATATTTACTCTAAATATTATTGAAGATGTTAAATATAAAATATTATAAACAGGAAATTTATCAAAATTCGAACTTTTTTTAATTTTTTTTTCAGATTTTCCCTTGAATTTTTTCTCTGAGGTATAATACTACCTAATTCAAAAAGGTGTCGACGTAACTTTCAACATTAAATTTTATAGGAGATAAAGGTACCTTTATTTTAGATGATAAAGGGTAGTTTAATGTTGAGTACTTCCAAGGCTCCATAATAATCGTAAATATTTATAGGAAAATGATGTGTTTATAATTTTTTTTTTAAATTATATTAAATATGATCGGTTATATACTCTTAATCGAAGTATGATCGGTCATACTTAGTATAATTTATAAATAAAAAAATTTATAAATATAATCAATCATACACTTTAATTGGAGTATGACCGGTTATATTTTATTTATGCATACTTTCGGTGTGTGTAATCGTGTTTTATTTTTAGTACATGGGATACATTTAACAAAGGGATAGGATATTGTGCCTACTCCCATCTTGCCTACCTTTACCTACTTCTCTCAACATCGTTGGATTACAATCTCATCTAACGGTTCAGATTCTAAAAATAAATAAAACCCTTTTACTCTTTTTCTCTCTCTCTAACTCTGCTCTTTCTCTTTCTCTAACTCCACCCTTTCTCTCTCCTCGCTTGTGTGCGATGAAGAAGACGCCCAAGTCTACATTTTACGATTAGGAAAATATTCTTCATCCTTTGTCCATGCACTTGTATTCTGAGAAGGGTTGAATTGGAAAAGAACAAGTTAATTGGAGTATATAAATTAAAGTGATAGAATTTGCCAGAGCATGTTAGGGTTCCGTCTCAGAATGAAATTGATAACTTTGTCTTTTTCCCATCTTAGGGTGGTTTCTGTATATTTGGATTTTTGATTTTGTTGCCTTTTTACGGCGGTGTTGCTTGTCGACGACTGATGATTGATCCCATCTTTGTGCAGAATCTGGGCCTCGCTGAAACCTAAACCAACAGAGATGGGAAAGGGCTTTTTGTTTCCATTAAATAGACTCTCCCTCTCTCATTCCAAATGTGATCTAACAAACGTAGTGTTAAACGATTCGATATGGTTTTATTTACCTTTGTTTCAACCCAAACAACCCTAATTATTCAACGCCCTAAATTATGGCTTATTTTCTTCTAAGGGTAACAAAGCAGAGTACTGTAGAAATTTGTATTTTCTTCTTCTTTTCTTCCAGGATGATAATATTGGATACTCAATTTTGAGTTTATGCACAAATACTTTGGTGTTTGCAGCTTTCGAATCTTTAATAATATTTGTCATTCCTGTTTTTTTAACAAAGAAAAAGATGATGTCGTATTATTTGTTCTTCCTTGCATCGTAGTTCTTTTTAATATTTTGGTTTTTTTTTTTTTTTAATCTGTGGATGTTAAGGCATGAATTCTACCATCGATTTTGTTTCTTAGCAACGTATCTGGTTTTCAGTGGGAGAGATATTTGCAAGTACGTCTTCTTTATCGCAAGCAAGGGAGGAGAGAATAAGGGTGGAGTCAGAGAGATAGGGGGAAGAAGAGTGGAGTTAGAGAGAGAGAAAAAAAGAGTAAAAGAGTTTTATTTAACTTTTGAATCTGAACCGTTAGATGAGATTGTAATCCAACGATGTTGAGAGGGGTAGGTAAAAGTAGGCAAAATGGGAGTAGGCACAATAACCTATCCCTTTAACAAAATATTAACTAACTTTCCAAGGATTGAAAACTCATTTTTTTATATAATTTGTGGGTTTAATTATAGGAAATAAAATTATCTCATACACACACATAAAGTGTGTAGCCCATATTTTCTCCTATTCTTTCTTTTCCTTACATGGCTCGACACAGATTTCACATACTTTTATGTGTGTATAGGAGATAAAATTAACTCCTATAACATAAGAAATATTAAACCCATAATTTGTATTATTTCAATTCTTTCACAAGGAAAAATAAGTTTACGGTTAGTTTTATTTTATTTTTTATAAAATAATGTAAATTATTAAAAAATTTAGAGTAAAGCCCATTCTGGATCCCTAATAAAAAATACAGTTTCCACTTTCGTCCTTATAAAATAAAACTCATATTAGTTCTTTTTTAGGGACTAAATTGGATCTTCATTGAATTTTTAAGAGATCATATTTTTAAAGAATTGAAATTATAAAAGGACTAAAAGTTGACTTTTTTTTTGCAAGGGACGAAAGTGGAGGCGATATTTTTTTTTGTTAGAGCCCATTTTGGACCTTTACTAAGAGTTAGATTATGTTAGTTTGTAAAAGTAAATTACAAATTATTCACTTTTATTTTAGTTTACAAGACTTAGTCATAAAACCAAAACATTTAGAAAATAATTTTCTCCAACACCCACATAGGGTTCTATTATAGAATAAATCTTTGGTACTACTGCTGTACCAAAGATTCAGTGTATCCCACCAGTAAAAATATTACATGTTAGCTAAAAAAAAAATTGTCAAATTTTTTTTCTCTCCTCTAATGTGTACTGCTCTCATTGATGTGATGCACTGAATCTATGTACAACAGTAGTACCAAAGATTTATTCCGATTATAGCGAGAACAGAAAAAAAATTAGTGGAATATAATGAGATACATTTAATTTTATGAATGTGACATATAAAATTTTTCTATAACAAAAACAAAAATATTAAATCCATATTATAATGGGTTAATATACAACCTGATTTAAAAAACTCCCCAATTTTTCTAAGCTAAGATGCTACATTATTTTCTCTCTAAAAAATTCCTAGAACTACAACAAAAGTTTACATGAACCTAGCCCTCCCTCTTCGACCACTGATATTAGGGTAATTCCTTATTACCTCTGAGCGCTGCTCTGTAACCTCCATTATAGTTTTCCTTTTGCAGTTAGGGATGTGCATGGGTCGAACTGAATCGATTTTTTTAAAAAAATTGAATCGAATTAGTTTAAATGGTTCGATTCGGAAATGGTTCGATTCAGTTCAAAACTGGTTCGGTTCGAAAATAGTTCGGTTCGGTGAGAAACGGTTCGGTTCGAAACCGGTTCGTAATCGGTTCGGTTCGAAACCGGTTCGTAATCGGTTCGGTTCGAAACCGGTTCGTAACCGGTTCGAGTCGACCCTCTTTTAAAAAGAAAAAAAGAAATTAAAAAATTAAAAAATAAAATTATAAAAATCAATTTAGTTTGAAAATGGTTCGGTTCGGTTCAAAATGGTTCGGTTCTTAAATTGATTCTAAAATCCTGTTCAGTTCTTAAACTGGTTCTAAAAACCGGTTCGGTTCATGAACTGGTTTTTAAAAACCGATTATTTTAAGGGACGGTTTGGTTTGGTTCATGGTTCGATTCAATTTTTTGGTTATTTTGCACACCCATATCCCAGCCACATTCTTTGGACGAAAATTTCAGAAACAATAATGTTATTCTGTCCATTCGCAGCTGATCACCACATCAAAACCGAATATTTATCCATAGTTATGCAATCTAAAGCATTGGGTTAAGGTTTCACATAGATGCCTAAAAGATCCTTAATTTCCGCGACAGATGAAATATACACTCACAAACCACAACTTCTAACATTCTACCTACAAATCATTTCCATTGCCTCTATATAATCCCTCTCCTCTTATCCTCCCACACATCCAACACACACATTGTAAGCATTCTTCCAATAAGCATCAAATTAAAGCCAATTTTTTTTTTTTCACAGACACCAATTACCAACTACAAAATGAAGCAATGCATCTTCTCCTTCTCACTCCTCCTACTTATTATGTTTTCTTTTTTGTATTCTTCCACCACTGAAGCACTAGCACCAAAAGCTTCAGCACCATCTTCAAAACCATTAGTCCCCACAACATTACCTCAATCACCAGATTCCTCTGACTCTTCTACCCCTGACGACATCACCAGAATCCTCAAGAAGGCGAAAACATTCACCGTCCTAACTCGCCTCCTGAAAACCACAGAAATCATGAACAACATAAACTCACAACTCATAACAGCCAAGAGTGGTGGCTTAACCATCCTTGCACCAGACGATGCTGCATTCTCACAACTGAAAGCAGGGTTCCTCAACTCCTTAAACGAAGGCAAAAAAATCGAACTCTTGCAATTCCACATTCTACCCGAGTATGTTTCGAGCTCAAATTTCGATTCTCTGAGCAACCCTGTTCAGACGGTGGCCGGTAAAGACCCCACAAGGCTTCCATTGAACGTGGAGTCATATGGTAACAGTGTCAACATTTCAACGGGTGTGGTCAATGCCACTGTCACAGGTGTAGTGTATTCGGATAACAAGCTCGCTATATACCGTTTGGACAAGGTGCTGCTTCCTCTGGATTTCTTTGTAACCAAGGCTCCAGCTTTAGCTCCTGTTGAAGCAAAAGCGCCTAAAGCTGATAAAGAGAACTCTTCTGCAGAAGATCAGAATGAGACAAAACAGGATCAGAGTAACTCTGGAGCAGTGAGTTTGATTCGAATTCATGGAACAACATTGATGTCCCTTGGGGTAGCTTTTGTTGCAGTAGCAACGTTGTGGAGTTGAAGATCATCATCTATTTGGCAGCTTCATATATGAATTCCTGAACCAGCACTTCTCTTGTTTTTTTCTTTTTTCTCTCTCTATTTCTTAAGTATTGGTGTTATGAAAATTTACTCTTAAATTTACCACTTCAATAATAGTTGGGGATTTGTGTAATTAATCTATATGGATTTCTTTTTTTCAATGAAAAATTATAAAATCACTGATTAGGTCAACCGGCATTAATTTTAACCTAAGAGTGAACTGAAACAACAAAATAAAATAAAAGTTCCCGGGAAAGCCTTCATTTTATATTGGCATTTGGTTTCCTCTTTGCAAATGGATTCTGTTATTTGTAAGGTGCCTCACACACACATATATATATATGGTAGGATTCTTTGACACCAAATTTGACACCTCATCTGAGAGCCGTTAGATAAAAAAAGATCAACCACTCTGATTTGCAAGCATGTGACACCATTGATCTTTTTTGATCTAATAGCTATCAGATGAAGTGCCTATATATATATATATATATATATATATATATATATATATATATATATTGTTTTTAAATTTTAATTGCATGGTTTTACACTGACTTGTTGGCTCAAATCATTGATATCTCGAATTTGATGTGAAATTAAATTTACTTTTTTTTAATTATGTATAGAGAAATGTAGGTTGAATAAAAACGATTATATTGATAATAAATTAATTATTTCAACAAAATAGCTTGATTCTTACTTGCTTTATTCTATAAACGCCATTTTTGATTCTGTCTAAAAATATTTATGTACAGACAAAAAATTTGTACATGATTCTGTGATTAAAAAAAAAAGGCTTCTGAAGAGTTGAAGACTAAGGGAAATTTTTGGTAATCATGTGGCTAGTAAGCTAAGATGTTCTATACCACTTGTCGCAAATGCAGCCTTGGTAACTTCGGGCATATGAGTTTTACTACAGAGCCCAAAAAAGTAACCGCACCAAACAATATCGTGAATCGATCATGCCCCTTATAACATGTTCTAGGAAATACTTATGTCATGTTGTAGTGTAGGAAAATGTCATGTTATAGATATAATTATTGTGGATCTCATCATTTTTTTATTTTTTTTTTAAATAGTGAGATTCACATTGATTGTATAGTACTTAAGCATTTTCTTACAACATGACACAAATATTTCTCATTGATTAATTAGTGCAACGTGAATACGTGATACAAGAACAAAAGTTATTTTTACCCATTATTATTTCGTGTGTCTATATTTTCACCCATTATTTTCTTACAACATTGATTGTTTATCAACCGATCCAAACCGATTCAAACCGATTTAAATCGCGAAAACCGAACCGAAAAACCGATAACCGACTAAACCGAAAACCGAAAAATCAGAAACCGAAAGAAAACCGCAAATTTTAATTGGATTGGATCGGTTTTCGGATGGGTTGATGAAAACCAATCCAATATATTAATTATTCTCTACCTACTTGTCCTTTCTCCAATCATAGCCCAAAAATTTCTAAACTCAAGACCCATTAACTCATCAACTAAACCCAAAAAAAAACTTAGTCACGTCTCATCAACTATAGTATTGTTTACTGATATTTTTGTATTTCAATTTTTTTTTTTTACAAAGCCAATATATACAAAAGATGTTATTTGCACAATAATCATGAAAGTAATTTTAGGATATTTAAAAAACCGAAAACCGATCCAATCCAAACCGAAAAAAATTGGATTGGATCGGATCGGATCGGATTTGAAAAAAAATCTAAACTGAATGGATGATTACATGATCAAACCGAATGGATTGGATCGGATGAGTTTTGCTTCCAAAACCGATCCAATCCAGACCGTGAACACCCCTACTATATACGTGATACAAGAACAAAAGTTATTTTTACCCATTATTATTTCGTGTGTCTATATATATATATATATATATATATATATATATATATAACACCATGATAAACTTTGGAAAATACTTTATGTTAAAGAAAGTATTTCTCATGTCACTCATATATCGATCTGTGTGTTTTAATTTTAATTTTAATTTTTTAATGATTTGACTCACTTTAAATATACGTGCGTAGGAATATTTCTTCTCTCGTATGGAAGAGAAGAAAAACAAAGCACAACAAATATTTCATAACAAAGAAGAAACTGAGAAAGCTTGAGAAATGGGATAAAAAAAGGAATTGAATATTCTTACAAAATGGCCTGAAGCTGTCGCCAAACTTTTTCAGAGCAGCCCACAACTATGCTTATTTCTCTTATGAAACTACAAGGTGATATCAAAAACAAAAATAGCAAATTAAATTCTGGGAGTTCTTTTTAATTTTAGGGATAAGAAAGGGGTGGAGTTTAGAATGATTTCTAAATAAAAGCAACACATGCATGCATCTAATTTCTATGTAATTTTACGCCTACATCAAATTGTGCTCTCACTCTGTTTTCCCTGCCATCTCAAGCAAAAATAAACAACTAAAAAAAACTGCTCAATGGTTTAAATCTTCACAGACGCACCACCTTAATCTCTTTGCCAGATAATGAGATACACGCTCACATCACACAACACAACTCATGTATTCACGCATCCCAATTCAGCTCACATCTTATTGAGCTCATCACCAAAACTTTTCTCAATCATAAATCCATCTTAAATATTGATGCAACACCTTAATTAATCTCCCAACCATATAACAAAATGCACGTTCACAAATCACAATTAACCAAACCCTTTACCTGCAAGTCATTGTCTACAATCCTCAATAAAAAAACCCCTCTGCTCCATTTCTCCAATGCATCAATCAAACACTCATTGCAAACTTCGATACATTGACCAACCCGGTTCGAACACTGGCCCGAGCTAAACCTGGCAAGTTGGAACTAAACGTGATAAGCATCTCCACGGGAGAGGTTAACACTACCATCACTGGCATCATATATACGGATAAGCATCTTGCTATTTATAAGGTTGGTAAGGTGCTTCTTCCTTTGGATTTCTTCGCTACCAAATCAATAGCAGCGGGACCCACTCTAGCACCAGCACCAGCAACAACAGCAAATGCGCCTAAACCTGATAAGGAGAAGCCATCATCCTCGGATGATTCATCGGAATCGTCGCAGGTTGTTCCCACTGAAACCTCTGGGGCTATGATGAGAATTGGCCCATGTGGAACCTCGGTGTCCCTTGTTCTTAGTGTTGTCTTTATGGCAGTATTCACATCATGAACTACAATAGGATCTAAGTAAATATAATCAATGATGTAGCTACTAAGCTATATATTAATATTCAATTGTTATGATGGGGGCGTGGAAAGTGAGAAAGGAGGGAATATTTATCAGAGTGGATTGATTTATTACGGCATTATGCATTATTGTATCCGAGATCTTTGTATCTCTCTATGAATTTATTCTAATAAACGAGTATTATGTTTGCTATGTTATCTTAACCCTTACATAATTATTAATATGAATTAATATAACATTAATTTTATGAAAAAATATTTTCTTATGTTGTAGGAAAATTGTTTTCTCTTGCGAGCGTGTTTGGTACCCGAAAAATTTTAGCCTCCCCGGAAAACCATACTTGGAGAACTAAGAACCCCATGTTTGGTATCCAAAAATGAAAAAGTTTCCGGGATGAGTATATTTCCCGACAACGCTTTTTGTGTGCAAAACTCTGTACGGACAAGAGGTCAATAATTTCATGGATTAATTGGAATTTTTTGGTATCCGGAGAAGTGGAAAATAAGCGAGAAAATATCGACGAAAGTAACCTTACTTTCGCACGATCTGTCTGAAAACAAGGGCTACCTCTGGTTTTAGAAACACCCAGAACTTGAATTTCATGGTCGAGCTCAAACTATACCTTGAGGATTTGAATGAAAGTGATAAACTTGAAAAGGGGAATTTTTGAACATCTCTTTATATAACTTAGTCTCTCCTCCTCGGAGTGAGATCAAAGAGGGGAGATTACAGCTGTGAAAGGAAAAAAGGTTGAAACTTTAATTTGAATTCGAGGTTAGTTAGTGTTCGGGTGGTGCTGAGTCCTGACGGGAACAAAACAAAGTTTGTGAATTTAATGATTCTGTTTGAGACTTAACCTTAGACTGTTTGTTTTAGTTTGTCCGGAATTGAAAGTGGTAGAGATGAGAGGAGTGAAGAGTGACGAGGAAGAACATATCATGTATGCTCCAGATCCATTGCTTCTTTGTGTTCGATAACGTTAAAAAATACAATATTTGAAAAAAAAAAGATAAAGTTAGGGTTATTTCCGTAAAATAACTTCATATTTCCACTAATATTTTCTAACCAATCAAACACATGTTCAGTAATTTAACCATAAGAGGCGTCTAGATTTTTGGTTGACTGCAAAAGCAATCCAACTACCCGCTCGGATCGGGAAATCCACTGGGTCACCGAGTCCCGGGTCGACCCGGCCAGTCCGAGCCGGGTTTTAAAACATTGGTTTTTAGCAGTGTTAATAAAACCGGATCGATCCGGGAACCGGTTAATCGATCATATAATCGGTCTGGTTGAAGCAACGGACCAGCCATGCATCAGAACCGGTGCGACCCGACCGATTTTCATGAAAACAGGTGACCCGGTGACTCGGCCAGGTCCCAAAAAAAAATTAATTTTTTTTTAAAAAAATAATCATAATGGACATATTTGAATATTTTTTTGCTTATTGACTTACATAAGTTATGTACTTACAACACTAATATTATCTCAATTATGCACTATGCAGAAAATTTTGATTTGATTTATAGTTAGATATGTCATTTTCTGAACTTAAAGTCTCGTATCATGAACATTATATTTTTGTTTGATCCTTTATTGGATAATAATATGCGATTTATTATTTTTTATATTAAAATATTTGAAATTTTTATATTTTTTTAGATATTGAGTATGTTTATAATTTTTAATATAAATTATAAAATTGCATATAATTACCGGATCATGCGGTTGAACTAGTGACCCACGGGTTGAAACAGTGTTCCAGTAACCCAGTACCTCGACCGGGTCAATGACCGGGCCGGTTTTAATAATTAACATTGGTTTTTAGGGCAATGCTTTTCTCATGTTACATGAGATAAAATTGTCTTATGTAGAGACATAATTAAGTGGATCTCATAACTAAAAAAAGGAAGAAAAAAGAAAAAGAAATACTTGCTCGGATTTCGATGGATGTGTAATATGAGATCAGCTTTTTCCTAATTTTTATGGTATTAAATGACACTAATATTTTATATTTAATAAATTATGAACGGTCAATTTTATTTATAATACACATGTTTTATTAAGTGAAATTTCTTTTATTTTGTGGTATTAAAAATGGGTTATATTACTCTCATGTAATAGGAGATATATTATCTCATGTTGTAGATACAATCATATAGTGGACCCCATTATTTATTAAAAAAGAAAAAAAGATAAGCACGGAAATCGATGGGTCTGTAGGAAGTTATATTACCTCATACAACATGAGAGTAATATAACCCATTAAAAATATATATGAACAGATATAAAAATATATTTAGCCTATTTTGGGTCCTTAACAAAAAATACGGTCCCCACTTTAGTCTCTTACAAGAAAAATTAACTTTTGATTGCTCTACAATTCTATTTCTTTAAAAATGTGGTCCATCTGAAATTCAATGAAGACCCAATTTAATCCCTAAAAAAGAACTAATATGGGGTATTTTTTTGTAATAGAGGAAAGTGGGGACCGTATTTTTTTAGGAACCCAAAATGGGCTTTATTCTTTTTTTTGTAATAATAATTATTTTATGGCTTTAATGTTTCTACAATGAATTTAGATAAGTTATCTGCATTCGCTCTCAAAATGACGTCGTTTTGAGTTAAAAAATTAAAAAATTATAATAAAAAGACTATTGTAACCCTAAAATAAATTATAATTTCAAAAATACTTTGATTTTCACCTCAAAATGAAGTCGTTTTGGATTAAATATAAATAAATTATGTACAGTGACCGTAGAAAAAGCGACCCTTAGTTTATTTAATGTTAGTTTAAATCTATTTTAATGTTAAATACGGCTTATTAAATCAGTGCAGTTTACTTTAAATTTCGGAGGTTGTAGAAAGAGAGAAGGGGGAGACAAATATAAAAATTACGAATTCAAACATAAATTGGTTATTCTAAATTCAGAAAAGTACTGAATATATATCAATTCGTTTAATTAATTGTTGTATTTGCATTCAATCACTGATGAATCTTTTGTACATCCAACAAACGTTATTATCAACGATCTTACTACAGACAAGAACCGCTCAATTTTCTAGACATGAAATATAAAAATAGCTAGGAAGTAATTAAACATTTAGCTCTTTATATAGAAAGGAGTTCACGGCCTCCACAGCTGAATGACCACTACCAAATAAAAGTAGGTCATCATAGCCATCATAATGCAATAAAGTTCTATCAACATTAATTAGAGCATATATAGGCGAAGTTAAAAGAAGAAATTTATTAATAACAGTGCTCCTGAAAATTTATACGACATGCATGAAGGAAGGCTTTTTTTTTTTTTTTTGTGTTTCTAATTTCTACTTCTATGCCCTCTAATACATGATTATTAACTATTAGGAGAAGATATAATTTAAGAAAAAGTGGTTAATTTTTAACTTAACGATATATAACAGGCAGAGAAAGGAAAGAATATATATAGTCTCTTTCAAAATGCAATGGCCCCCACCTCCCTCACGAGACCTCTCTATGATATCAATAACACGTGATATCTTCCAGTTAATTTCACCGTGCAATCTGGCCCCTAATCTCTGATTATTATTATTATCATAGAACAATACTAGAGTTCAATCCTAAACTACTTCATTATATTGCAACTCAATCAATAATGTCCACCGAACTGGCTTTGCAGGTTCATGAATGATCCTATTGGAATATTGAACTTGGCGAGCTCTTGTTGTAAGAAGGGTCTGCTTAATGATTCATCTCTAACTCCCAAGAAGTCTCTTGTTAAGCCCAATTGGTCTTCATTCTTGGTGCCATTCTCAATCACAAACGAGCTCGAGTTTGAGTCATTTAATGAAAAGCCACCTCCATTATGTGTGCTTACATGGGGATTCTGATTCACCATATCGTTGAAAATTTCAGCCTGATTTGCTTGCTTGAAAATTTTCTGAATTTCAACAACGTTGTTCCGGTTGTTGCTGCAGGATGTGCTTGAGAGATTTGAGCCGAACAAGCCAAAGACATTGTTAGAGTTGTTGTTGAAGGCTATGTGATCAATATTATTGATCCTCGTAGATTCCACTTGGGATGCTTTGTGCAAAAATGGTGTGGCTGACATGTGAATTGGGCCTCCTTGTGGGTTCTGAATATTACTTGAGTACAAAGAGCTTACGCTATGTGACAAGTCTCCTTTGTTTTCTTCTTGTTCTAGCTTCAATCCTTGTGGCATAGATAGATTGCCACTAGTAAATGATGATGCTTCTTGGTATCGGTAATTCATGAGCCACTGTGCCTGTGGTGATGATCCAAACATGTTACTTGTTTGGACTAAATCAGGGAAGGTGCATGCACTCGTGTTGCTTGGAAAGCTAAGAGGATGATGAAGCTGAGGATTGGCTTGGTCTAGCCATAGAGGCAAATTCCCCATTAATGGTACTTCAGGGCCTAACCCAAGTAAACCGTGAGGGTTTCTTGGTGTTTGAGCGTTTATCAAAACTGATGGTAATGAAGTCATTCTCGCACTTTGTTCCACCAAGGCCTCACAAAATGCTCTATGCGTTACGAAGCTGTCCTTCCTGATTTGTCACACAAAAACATGCATATACGGATAACAATCAAACAATTAATTAATTAATTAACAACCCCTTATTTACTACTTCTCCTAAATTAACATTCTCATGCACCTTCAAATTATAACTTTAAATTGGGTCCATCTCCTGCATGCATTTAATTAATTCAATGAATTAGGGACATTTTCAGCCATATAATTAGATGAATCATTAATTTAATGTGACTCAAATTATAACTTCATATATGTGTATATATATATATATATATTAAAGGGTGCAGTAGTACCTACCTGGAGAATATTGTGCCACAGTGACATTTGTACTCTCTAGTGCCACAAATCTTGCTATGGGCCTTCCAATCAGATTGAACTGCATATTTCTTAGAGCACTTGTGGCACTTCCACTTCTTCTCACCATGTTTTCTACTATAGTGTTTCTTTATACCTGTGAGGTCTCCCAAGGCTCTGAAAGGGTCATGGTGCACGCAACTCTTCTCTGGACACACGTAAACCTTCTTCTTCACGTCTTGGTTCGTTCTTTGTCGTAGCTTCCATGGAAGATTGTGCCCTCGCCGATGCAGCTGCAGGTTCTGGTCTCTCTGAAAACCCTTGTTGCAAACTTCGCATAAGAAACGATTGGTTGCCATCAGTGAGTTTGGCGACAGAGCAATCACTTCTGCATCTGGATCTGCTTTATTCATATTCAAGCATGGACAATATTTGTAAATTGTAATTAACTAATAGTAGGGATTCGTTAGTGTATAACTTATGTGAATCAAAAAAGTATGAAAAAAAAAATATATATATATATATATATATATATACATATTGAAAGAGAAGAATTTCACAACTTGCCTGGTGTTCCGGGTAAACTTCTCTTTCTCTTAGCTGAACTTGAATTAGGGTTAGGATTAGGGTTTGAGTTTGGGTCATGAATTTCAACCATGGCAACTTTGAGGTTGGAAGGAACAGAAATGGTTTCTTCGGACATCATCTTTGGAATCGAAGAAAATTGGAGTGTCCAAAACTAGCTAGCTAAGCAAATTTTTAAAAGTACTAGCTCAAAAGCTTTGAAGCAGACAACGGAGGCACTACTAAAATTAACAAAATAACATCCAAGGAATGTATAAAAATAAATAAAAACTTTCGTGTATTTAATATTCCCATTCGAGACCAATATATTCATCTTAGAAGAAATTGAAATATTGGAGCAAATGGTAATAGCTCAGTTGGTAATAAGAAAATAAAGTAAGTGGAAAGGAAAAGACCTCAGTTTGATCCTCATATGCCACATTTAGGAAGGATTTAAATATCTTATGCCCTGCACTTTAGATTAGTCTCACAATTGGCTCAAATTAAAGAGTCAAAGTTTACCGAAATACCGAAAAAAGTTGTGTCAAAGAGGTAATTGGGTTGGGTTGACTAAAAAAAAATAAAAATTGAAATATTGGTTTTACATGTGAATCGCGGTGACACAGCACACAAGTCTTTGAGTTTGGGCGAATTGAATATTCGAGAATGGATGAAGAGAGAAGAGAATAATAAAATTTCTTAATTTCTAAGTAGAATTGTTATTTCTCTCCTTATCAACACGGCTGCTCTGGGTGCCAGTCAGTCATAGACTAAGATGGACCACTTTTTCTCTGTCTCTCGATCGCTTTCTATATAGCTCCATATATATATATATCAATAATAGTTGTAACTAGCCAATCAAGTAACAATGTAATTTGTACTAAGTCAATTAAAAGCTGCTAAGGAAGTTAGTACTGTTATTTGAGTTAGACCCAGCTAATGCAATGGTTTCAATTGGTAATGTGTCCTTTTTTTTTTTTTTTTTGTAGATTGATGGAGCATTGCTTCACCTTTGCTACTGCCTACTATTAATGTTTTTAGAAGGGATTCTGATAGAAATTTCATGTATTTAACCTAGTTAACAAAATATTAGTAATGATTGAATTTCTCTAAAATAATAAGCATTATGTTCATAAATATATGACTAAATCGCTAAATTAGTGCTCTAAACATTAGCGGGTCATTACATTAAGTCTTTCAAAGATTTTTGCACCAAATTAGTTTCTTAAAAACATAAAATAGATATTACATTCATAAATTTTTGTCTAATCACTTTAATTTTTTATTAAGAAAAAAAAATATGATCATGCATGACATTTTACATTTTTGAATAACTAATTTGGTAACAAAAATCTTTAAATAAATAATATAATGACACCGTATTGTCAAAATATTAATTTAGTTTTTCTCTCTAAATATATTAATTAATATATATTAAACTTATATATAAAAATATGTATTAATATTTATTAATTTAATATTCTTAAGTTGAGTATACGTCAAGTTTACATAAAAATTTAATCTTTACTCCAATTTTACCAATCAAATTTATTTTAAAAAAGTAAGATGGTGACCCAAGTGTGTGGCTCAGTTGGTAGCATGGGGACTGAGTGGTGGGAGAGGACCTCGGTTCGAATCCCACCAACACCATCTGGAGAGGGGCATAAGTACCGTAATCTTTGGACTCGCACCCGAACTCTGGATTAGTCCCATAGACAGCTCAAAGAGTCGAACCTATGGAGATACCAGGGATTCTGATTTGCTTAAAAAGGTAGGATCGGTTAAAAAAAAAAAAAAAGGTAAGATGGTGAGAAGTGAGAACTGACAAAGAAAGGAATTTAGTAGGCTTTTACAGCCAGCTATATATGAAAATGAATATGCCATAATTGTATTATTAACGGCGTATAATCTGACCAATAAGATGAATATGGAGAAAGTGGCGTTGGTGCAGTCCGTGAGTCATAACTGGTTTGGAGTGGGATCCCACAAAACGATTGTGAGAGAGAGAAAGTTCGATAATACAAAGACACGAGATGACTGGTTCCGCTTGATGTGTCGAGCAAGGAATAGTATCTCCACTTATTCTCGCTTTCCCACCTCACTCGATGCATCTTTGATTTCTTAAAAATGCATGCTACCTATCACTCTCTATCTATTGTGTAATTGCTTCACATTTCTCCATAAATTCGTCCCCGTGGCCCCCATCTTTGATCTCATCTCCCCCACCCACTTGTATGCTCCATACTCCCCTTAGAATAATATATATAACTCAAGTTCAAAATAAGTTTAGTCCTTTAATATATTGGTTTGCATTATTTCACAAAAAGAAAAAACAAAAGGTTTGCATTAATTTATAGGAGAGAGGAAATGATACTGTTATGGATCCGTATAAGGGGTCCATTGAATGACAGGTTCAGTTAGAGAGCAATCCAATATTTAAATCAAATATAATTATGGATTGATATCCATTAAGGATAATAATCCTAATACGACAAGGCACTCATCAGAGGTACTAAAGGTTCACATCATACTAGCTACAGGTAACTCCTATAGATAAAGAGGTAAGTACGTTACGCTCTATCTCTCTTACTGATCTGCTGTCACTATGCGCATACACACCTCCATTGACAAACCTGTTATTAGTTCGTTGTGTACAGTGATATGCTTGACTCAAGGATATTTCTTTCATAGATATTTTAAAGAGGACACTAGATCCAACATCAACGTACCAGTCTATTGAGCTAGAAATTTCTCTCAATCTCCTAAATAGAACAGATGCCATATGATATATGGTCATTACCAAATTAATAAAGATTAACAGATCTTTAAAAATTTACTTGCACCTAGGTCTGATTTGAAAGTGAACCATTCTATAAATCAAGGTTGATCGGTGGCTAAACTTGTATATTCCAATCTCTCACAAAGGACAACGTCAAAGCTAAAGAGTACTACTGATCTTCCCAATTAATTGGATTACTCTTGTAGTCATATGTTTAATTGAATGGAAATGTAGTACTCTCATTTAAATAAAATATGATATAAATGTATGGTCATATATGTAGAAATTATAATTATAAAAAGATAAATCAACGATAATGATTTTATAACCATATAATTTAATATATTTTTTCTCTTCTTTTAACAATATTGATACACATTTATATGATTATCATTTCATGTCATATTTTAGTAACATGTGCGAATATATTCCCTTAATTGAATATACATAACTTGGTAACCAATGAAAAGTTTCGAGAAAAGTATATATCATTTTAAAAGATATAAACTTAGGTTCTTTTGAGAGAGACAAGTATTAAAAAAAATAAAAAAAAATGTGTAAGTCTCACATTTATATATCTATCTCCCTTTTTTAAATGTGTATCTTTTAAAAGTAGTCAGTTTTCCCAAAAGTATAACTTCTTTTCACGATGATAAATCAAATCGTAGAGTCGTAGAGAATTGGAACTGAGCAAGCAAGCAATTTTGTTGAATTTTAATACTAAATTTCCAAATATCACTTTTCATTTACTTTTTTTGAGGACGCTTCTCTGCTTTTGTATACAGTACCTCGTTTTACTTTGCTTTTTCTCTTTAATTATACATAGCATCCTTGCATTTCCTTTTGTTTGTGATATTTCAAAAGGGTAATGTTTATTTCATTTTGCATGAGATAAACAATTCTTCTATATATAAAAAGAGATTGGGTTTCACCATTTTTTTTTCTCTTCTTACCTATGGGTTCTATTTATATTTTTATTTTTACAACATGAGGTAATTTTTTTCCTACAATATAAGAAAAATATATCTCATTTTAAAAATAAGATAATGGCGTCTGATTTCGGAAATATTCTATCTACATTTGCGTTCTTCAACTAATTCCACCTATGACCCACCTCGATAATTGATGCCTCTTTCTTTCTTTTTTCCATTTTACTTTTTTCTTATAAACTACATATATTTTTTATTGGAGACAATTCTATTTAGGATGGATTCAAAATTAAAATTTTAAATTTTTTTAAAAAAAAATAATACTGGGAAGTGCTTCTTCATTTCCTATACAGCGGAACGATAGTAGAAAAAAAAGTTAGCAAATGGCATGTACGAAGTTATACTAAGTTATATTTAAGGGTGTCAAAACAGGTTAACACGACACGCATTTGACACGACACAAATACATCAACACGAACACGACACGATTTTTTTGCGAGTTGACACAACACGATACGAATAACACGCAAAATAAGGGTCAAAACAGTAATTGACAAAAAAAATTAAAAAAATGGGTCAAAATTAAAAAAATTTAAAAAAATAATAATAAAATATATATATATATATATATAGATCAACACGAACACACGACACGATTTTTTTTGCAAGTCAATCCGAACACAAATTTTTGTGTCGTGTCGCGGGTTTACCTGCGTCTCATAACCTATATTGATACTCTAGTTATACTATGCTAATTAAGTCCGTACTAATCATTTTTAAAGAGTCATTTAGGTCCCCTCCCCTCACAGGCTCACACAAAAGTCCATGGGTGAAATTCGGAAATTTCATTTTAATTTGGGATCTCGGTTCTGTGTATCTGAAGGCGGGTGATAAATTGATGATAACTTTTGGCCATGTATTTTTATATAGCTTCTAAAACATATATAAACATGCAGTTTTATCGAATTTGTTTCAATTAATAAGCATAATATTTATGAACAAATTGACATTACTAAAAAAATATGAATTGGTGATAGATTTTAGAGATGAAAATATTTTGTCCTTAATTAAGAGGGAAATAGAGATAGAAAAACAATTCTTTTCTATTCGGATAAAATTAACGATAAAATAAAGTAGGTAGTTGCTAATTCTTGCTAACCCCACGTGATATAATAATTACATGCTTTCATATGAACAACTTTTAATATAACCATGGCCAGAACAATGCATTTAAATTAATTGATCTCTGTGGCTAATGTGACTTTTTTTACAAAAAAAATGCCTTTAACAATGCATTTAAACAATTAACTTTAGCAGCCCCAAAATCATCCATACATGTATGCATGTTTACTAACTGTTTTTTAAATAACTGTAATTTTTTTAAAAAAAAATCATTTTAAAAATTCATTCATTAAAAGTATTTTTTTTTAATTCCTAATAAGTAAATCCAGATATATAACAGAGATTAGCAACTTCGCATTTTATGTTAGAATTTTTTTTTTATCTCATAACTTA